CAATCGATTCCTCTTTCCGTCCATCCAGTATGTAGCCATCCAAATCTCAATCTATTCATCCAATTTTACCATCAATCTCATTCATTCATCCATACATCACCCATGCCCACATCAGAAACCCACTCATATATGCATCCATCTCATCCATCTATCCACCCATTCATACATCATCCATCAATCCATCCATCTGCCCATAATTCCATGAACCATTCATTGATCAATGCATCCATTAATCCATCCATACATCCATTTATTCATTCATCTATTCATCCCTCTAAACTATCATCCGTCCATACATCTATTCCCACATCACAAACCCACACACCTATGCATCCAACTATCCACCCATTCATCCGTCAATCAATCCATCCGCCCATAATTCCATAATTCCATGAGCCATTCATTGATTAATCCATCCATCCATCCATCCATCCATCCATCCATCCATCCATCCATCCATCTATTCCCACATCACAAACCCACACACCTATGCATCCATCTATCCACCCATTCATTCATCTGCCCATAATTCCATGATCCATTCATTGATCTTTGCATCCATCCCATCATCCATCCATCCATCTTTTTATCCATTAAGCCTCTCATTTATCATCCATCCATCCATCAATCCATCCATCTATTCATTCATTCATTTATTCAACCCTCTAAACTGTCATCCATCCATCTGTTGATCCATCTATCCATTTGTTCATCAGTTGACCAATCTATCTGTTCCTCCATCCATTCATTGACCCTAATCTTCCATCCATTCATCTGTTCTTTGATCCATATCTTTTAATATTTTCTTTTAGGTTGTTTTCTGTCCATTTATTGACCCATTGATTCATCCATCTTTTGATCTATACAGTCATCCAGCCATTGATCCGTTTCTTCATCCATCAAGCCATCCCTATTAAACGCCATCCTTTAGTCTATCCACATCTCTCTCCATGCAAAGATCCATTCATTAATCGCTTCATTTTATCTCTCTTTCTATTTATCTATCAATTTATTGATACATCAGTCTGTTTGAATTAGCTTTGAATTTCTGTTGGTCTGTGTGCGCATACACATTCACATTAGCATGCTGTGAAGTTTACCCTCAAGTGTTGTACAGATGGCTCTCATCTCAGAGGGAAAAACAGAATAGCTGATCTATAAGGAGGATGAAGAATCAAGATCTCATCAGTGAATGTTTGTGAGTTTCATGATTGTATGATGCTAATGTCCCCGAAAGAACCAAATGGAAATAAAGAAAGGGGTCGGCACTGAGGGTTGATTTTGTATTAGAAGGGAAGTTTAAATTGCTGACAATCAAGTCGGCAATGAGACACGATGTTTAACGAAATCAGCTTGGAAAGTGAGGTGCATAGAATTTGCCTTAATAAGCGTGTGCAGTTAGTGTTTGTGTATGCGAGCGCGCACGCCTGTGTGTTACTGCATCTTTCACCCTAAAGGCTTAGATGGAAGCTGATGGACAAGATAGAGGGTGCGATGGGAGAATGAGAGGGAGGCATCAGGGTGTGAATGCTAATAGTCTCCTAGCGAAGACATCTATCCCATATCCTCACTTGACTCTCTTTCTTCCTTTCCCCCTTTCCTCTTTTACCTCCTTTCTATCTCCAACATCTCACCTTCTCTCTCCTGCCGTAAGTTCTCCTATTTCCCCCCTACCTTTCATCCCCCCTCTATTCCTTCTCCTCTCTCCCGCTTTTTAGATGTGTCCTTCTATCTCTCCTTATTATCTACTTCATTTCCCCTCTCGTCCCACTGCTTCCTCCATTTTTCTCGAACTCTCTCTGGAAAACAAACACATTAGTAGAGATCAGAGAGGCGATCACGTCATCCCTAAACCCTACACCCCCTGCTGCAGCCCAGCAGGGTTCTTCACAGTGCAAATATTTGCGTGAATATGCCTCCACATGATTAAACATGAGCATGTTTATTTGTGGCCCCTCAAAATACTAAAGTTACCACTGCAAGTTTGAGGGTAAAACACGTTTCAGTGTATGTGTGTGTGCCTTAAGAGGAGGCAGTACAGCACTCACCCATGCTGCAGGCTCTGAAAAGAGAGCGAGGGAATGTGCTTGCCACTGCAGTAAATGAGAAAAAAAAAGCAGGGTGAAAAAAAAAGAAGCGCTGTAAAAGTTGCTGAGGCACACAAAAGAAAGGAGAGAGACAGAAAGAGTCTCTTATCCTTAATTAGAGTTTCCGCCTTTCCCTTTTTGTTCAGAGAGAACCAAAGCATGAAACTACTTTCCATTTTGTCTATTCTTGTGTCACAATCATCAGCTTTCCTTAAATGCAAAGTACCACTCTTATTATATATGAATACTTCCCCTTTTTTGTCGTCCATTATGCTTCATTCGTCATCCACTTTCTTTAGACTTTGGATGTAGTTATAGTCCACAGCACTTAGTCTTAATTTACACTTTTCAATTTCTGGTTCTGTACATCTTTGCTTAAAATCACCCTATTTTGCGTAAAGGCTCTGACTCATGCTTTTATCATACTAAATCTGTGCAAATGAGCCGGTCTTATTCTAGAGAGCTCACACAAAGGGTTAAGTGCACCACAAACTGCACTACAGCAGCGTCACACACCAACGTGCGCAGGTGATCTTAGCAGGCATGTTATTGGATGAGACATTATGCATTTATTTAGAGCAAGGTTATTATTAATGAAAACTAGCGAAATCACATGAACTAAGACAGTGGTTCTCAAGGCCCACTGTCCTGCATGTTTTGGATGTTTCCCTGCTCCAACACACCTGATTCAAATGATCAGCTCGTTATTAAGCCATTACAGACCTTGATAACGAGCTGATCATTTGAATCAGGTGTGTTGGAGCAGGGAAACATCCAAAACATGCAGGACAGTGGGCCTCAAGGACTGGACTTGAGAACCATTGAACTAAGATGTCAAAAACATTTACGCAGGGTGTCCATACGTCCTCTTTTACCCTGACATGTCCTCTTTTTTGGGGGGGCTGTCCAGCCTTGTCCGACTTTGTCCAGGGAAGTTTATAAAATCCTTCAAATGTCCGCGGTTTTGTGTGGCAGTTTTGAGTTTGTGTCATGTGGACTTACTGAGTTAGAAGCGTGTAAAAGACACTTGATCCGCCCCGAAAAAACTCTCACAATTAACTTTGTGCGACTCTGTGACTATGTAAACTGAAATTAAAATAAATACGAGCCGTTACAAAAACACAATAACTAATACTGAACTGTTTAAAACACGAAAACAAGGGGGGCAGGCAGATAGCCTAGCAGGCTAACACGCCCCATGTGTCCCCTTATTGATTGCAGTTTCAAGTCCCGGTCCTGACCATTTGCTGCATGTCATCCCCTCTCTCTCCATTGTCCAATGCTTCCGATTTGAGCTAGGCAACTTTGTGTGGACGTGAGTGGGTGGAAGTCATTTTATGGAATGAGAGAACTTCTGTTTTACAAAGTTTAATCTGCGCCGGCAGATAGGGCTGGGCGATAAACTGAAAATGTACCAATACCAAAACTTACGACGATAACCAACGTCATTTTGCCCATGTCAATATACTGGGTGTAAAAAAAATGAATAAATAAAAGTTGGTTTTGGATGTGTGTAGGTAGGCTTTGGTCTCATGTCCCTTTAAGATGGTGTCCTATGTCCAGAGACGTGAGTCCACCCCATCCAGTCTGTAACAAAGAGGGAAAGACAGGTGAGGAGATGGAGGATGGTTCAAAAGTTGTAGCGGCGGCTGAAGTAGACGAAGTTAATATGGGAGGGGGTGAGCAGCTTGTGGAGTAGTTATTGTCCATTTATCGTTATCGAGGAGAACTGCTCAATATATCGTGATATTGATTTGAGGCCATATCACCCAGCCCTACCTGCAGGTGAGAACTGATCATACAGCTGATGGTTGCTGTGCTAGGTGGTTATGCTAGGTTGTGTGTATGACAGTATTCATTACATTTGCAGGAAAGTTGTTGAGGAGGGAGCGTAAAAATTAAAGATCTACACAGTAACAGATGGAGGTAATGGCAGTATCGCAGGGGACCGAGTCTCTCTTGCCTGCAGAGTCAAGGTTTACAATAGATAATGTGGTCTGACCATGGAGTCCTGCAGAGCTCCTGTACACTCCTTAACTGTGACACTGACCCGTCAGTGCAGCGGCTGTCAATGCTTATTGACGAGCTGAGCCCCTGAGTTTATCCGAGAGGAGATACAACCACGACTGTGTTTAGGTCACCTCCCACTGCCGCGTCAGCTGGTGTGTGTGTATTCCTCTGACAGGTTCAATCTCTACTAATCACAGCTTTCAGACCCCCCTGTGGATTTAAGGTCCCTATTTATCAACATGACAAGCAAGGAGGGCTGAATGTGGTGGGACGAGGCCAGAGAGCGGGGAGAGGGGCTGTTATTTGATGCAGCTCAGCACTAAAAACAGACTCTCTTTGCTCAGAAATCCAGTCAAATCCATCAATATTTAGACCTTTGGAAAGTGTCCATCAGTCACTTTGATTAAATTTACTAATAAGACATATGCATTTTATTCTTAGATAGAAAGATTAAGACATAAACATTTTTGAAATAACTTTACATATTAAGATATAATAAAATAAATGATTTTTGAGCCTTTTTATGTTACAGTACAAAACAAAAAACGAATCGGAGATCACTCTTTTATTACATATAAAATAAACTAATAGTTAATATCTGTGAGGAGCTTGAGTGCTTTCAGGTCTTGCAGCTCTCAAAGGAATATTTTTTCTATGACTGGTCCAAAAATCCTCACGGGAGCTTTAATAATTTATACATGGAAGGATTAATCGTATGTGCTTTAAAGGTGCTTTAAGGAAGTTTTGGTTTGTGCTGATTTTCTCCCCCAATGCTTATGGTTCAAGCTTATGATCTTGTTTGCTTTTGTGGGCCATAAAGAGGCATCAGTATCAACTTAAGTTTGTTTTACAGTCTGTAAAAAACTTCTTACAGTGGCTTTAATACAGTGAGAAGCACGTGAAGGGGTTGGGACTTAAGAGGAGATAACCAAAGCATAGCCATGCATCACTTTTTATCTTTTCACCATAGCGTGACTTTTTCAGGTTAACACATATGTAAGAGGATTACCCTTTTATGAAACACCCTGTAGAGGCTGGCTGGTCCTGATTCTAGGTGTCTTTGTACCAGTTATTTCTAACATTCAACACATTTGCAGTTTTCATCAGGTTGCTCATTGAACGGTAATTACAAAATTGCAGGACACTTAACCGGCACTTTATGCATGTTTTTGTAACCCCACCAGGAGCTAAAATGCTTAATTATCAGTTTGAGAAATGGTTGAAATTAATGGGGTAATGGTTTGTCTGGGGAAAAGAGAGAGAGAGAGAGAAAGAGGAGGGTAGATAAAAAGGACAGAGAAAAAGACGGAGAAAAATCTGTATGAAAAAAAGAAAGACACTCAGAGGGGAGAGTTGGGTGTTAATAAGATGTCAAGTGTAATAATACCCGTGCTAGTGTCGAAGGCTTTTGTCAAAATCTCATATTTTAGAAGCAGCAATTGAACTCTTTCCTGCACAATTACGTCTATCAGCAACGTGTGAATCACTCTCTCTGCCTGTCCGTGAGTGCTTTCATTAACTTCCTATTTTCACTGTGCGAGATGTGTCACTATATTGTAGACGGAGTGCTTATTGAGCAGACCTGCCAGGCACTCTGTCTCTGCTGAAATTACTCACGGTGAACTATTTCTGGACCATTATGCAGAAAAAGCTCAACCTCTCCACGTCTACAGTAAACTGATTTAATTTTCAAACCAAACTGTCATTTCCTCTTTTTTTACCCCAGGCGGGGAGAGACATGCAGCAAATGGATGGCGAAGTAGACAGACTCACACACACACATTCACGCGCAAACATAAGATGATTCATCGCCCCAAATTTGACACGTGGTACAAAAAAAAAAAAGCTGGCGCTGGTTTAAAGCAGAGCTCAGACAGTGTGGAGGCGCTCTTATCTACGCTGCTGCCTTTCTGTGTCAAGACAAAACTTCAGAGTAAAAATCTAATTCTGGCAGGATTCAAACTCTCATCAAGCTGTGAAACAATAATAAAGAGTGAGCCGATGTACTTTGAATAAGAGGTGTTCTTACAGGATGTATTGAATGGAAAAATGGATGCCAAGAAAAGTCTAGAGTACAGTCAAAAATTCACTTTCATCACTTTAAATATTTAAATGTTGTGCCAAAGCTGATATAGTATTGTTATACCACTGTGTATGTTTGGCTTACTCTGAACATACAACATGTTTACTTTCATATACAATTTAGAGCTCCTGAGTGGAATTTTCTGTTTGGCCAAAGCACTTTTTGCTTATCTTATCTACATGCTTAAGTAGTGTCCTCTCACAAAAATTCCCACCTTACTGACTTTTGACAATCGTATGTATCATTTATTGTAAATATTTTAAATGGAAGTTTTGAACACAGGGCTGTTTCCTCGGCTGCTTGGCTGACACTTACCCCCTCACTTCAGTTTCAGGTATTTAAAATTACAGCAAAAAATAAGTCAGTTTTGTTGCTGGTCGTGTTGTTTCCTTTTTCATAAAATAAAAGTGCAAAAATGTGAATTGTAGTCAATTTAATAAATATCAAAACCAATATTTCAACACTGCATAATTTCCCAACTTTAGTTTACAAAGAACCCACATTTAGATTAAATGCAAGTTCTTCCTAACATCTTTTCTTCCTAGATATTATTGGTCAGAGTATAATTGGACAATATGTATTTAATTTGTAAGCCTAAAACAAAATAACACAAACAAAGGTAACAGATATGAGCTTCTTCCACTGTTTACATCAGCTGTCATCGTGCCCAGATCTAATCCACTCTTTACAACACCTGATCCAAATTTGGTCAAATTATATCTGCTTTATTCATTTACAGATGGTGTTTTCAGCCATGAAGAGCACTGATCTTTTTGCACTTTCTGTTGTGCAGGTGTGACAAGTGCAATGACAAATGCTAAAGGTTTGTGTCCAAAGTAACTCCTGGTTTAATGCAAGAGAGAAAAAGAAATATCAATGCAAAAATTCAGGCAACATCAATGACAGTAGGATGAGACTGCAGCAAAATCAGGAGGTGTTTTCTCTAGTGGTGCAGTGGATGTTCAAGTCCAACCATGGACTGGATTTAGATTTTTCAGTGTTGTCCAGAAATCCTGGTTAATGCAACTTTTGAAGTTTGCAGGATTTCATTTTGGAGGCTTTTTTAAGTCCTGTTTGCATAATATGAGTGTTTCCAGTGACATAAGACTGGTCACAACATGCTTACCTTAGGTAGCGTCTGGAAAATTTGATGTACTGTAAATGTTGTAAGTTTTTCAGACACTTTATGCAATGAAATTCATTGAGTGCAGTTTATTCCAAGAAAGACATTTTTTAAGAGTTGGTTGCAGTCAGAAAGATAAAGATAAGATAGTATGAAATGATGTGTATCCAGGAGGACAGTTTGGAGAACACACTAGATTTCCTTTTTAAAACCAAAGGGATGTTTTTACTATTTTTTTTTTTACTTTGTGAGTGCTTCTGGACACAACAACTTTCTTTAATAATTTGCTAAGTCTTAAGCAGACTGGAATTGCAAAGAGAGGAGTTACCTAGAATCAAACCCCTGTTGTTTGGTGTAATGGATGGGAATTTAATCTGCACATTGACTTTACATGTAGAGATTAATCTTGGAGACTTGTATGCCAATAAGAATGTGATGTTGATGTTTTATTGATTTCATATTGAAAACTGCTATGGTGTACGTCTTTCCATGAAACAAAACATCTAATTTTTAACCAACATCAGTACTTGGCCACAGTATGGTATATGGCGATGTGCTTTTGTGCCATTGCATGTCTTTGACGTGGGGTTATTTAAGGTGAGGGCTCCTAAGGGAGACCTATCTCTCCCTCTCAGTCCCCCTCTCACACACATAAACACAAATCTGCCAAATCCTTGTGGCGGCTTCAGGCTTAGGGGTGTAAAGACAGTGACAGACTGCTGACGGCCCAAGGATGATAAATTTGTCACCACCGATGTAAACCAAAGCCCAACACAGCCTCAATCCCAGTACACCCCATGAAACATGGCTCTGGAGGTTATTATGTCGATTCTTAACAGCTGACCTCATAACTCACCTTTAACACTTCAGCAAAAATAGCGGCAACACACAGAAAGTGAAGGAGAGTTATATTCTTACATTTGTTAACAATAGTCCACCGACGAAACTAATGATGGCAGTTAAAATTGATTGTTGAAGAATAAAAACCTCTTTAAAGGTTTTAATTAGACTTTTAGGGAAATGAGTCCTCAAGTTACAACATAGAACGGTCAGTAGTAGAGGTTTAAGGGCTTTTAGACTTTTCCGAAGACCGACAAAAAAAAAAAAAAAAAGAAAAAAAAGGCATTTTGACTACGAAAACAAACAAAAAAAGGCATTTTGATATATTGAATATTAAGAGCATTTCCATGGTACAACTGATGACAAGCTTCTGCTATCATATGAGCAAAGAAGTGTAGTTTCCATTAAAGGATCAGTTCTCCATTTCTGCCATTTAATGATTAGTTCTCAATGGAAAAATAACTTGTGGGATTCCTCAGGGATCATTTTTAGGGCCACTGAATTTTCACAAGTTAATTTCTGATCTTAAAGACTTTTAGGTGGAAAGGGAAAGGGAGTTATAAAGTTGTGGGAAAAGGCCCCTGGATAGGAATCACACCTAGAACCACCTGTTTTAAGGACTATAGCCTCAGGGTGTGCAACTCTGCTCTAAGTCAACTCCTTTTATGATGGACTGTGTGAGTCAATCCACAAACCAGCAATTGTATGTTGTTGCCCAGACCCAGGTTGCTGATTGGTTGTGTTCATTTTGAATTCTCACAGTTTTCATTTTTCTTTGGTCCTTCTTATGGTCAGCATGAAAAAAGACATAATCAAAACTGACTCAAACCTCAGCACTGGGTCAGAGTGTTGTAAGTCACTTTCAAGTTACTAGCTCCATAAAGTTGCCTCCATTATCCATTACTCCTTTTATACATTTTGTGTATCAACTACTGAAACTAATTTGTGGTGAGATGTGTTTGACTATTTGAACTGACTAGAATGGGTAGTAAACAGCAGTATTTTTATATCCTCTGCGGAACCATCTTCCCTTTGTTTACCCCAAGATGAAAACATCCGATCTTGATATCCTAAAATAACTGTATCCCTGTCAAGTTACCCTTCATTGAAAGACAGCAAACAGCAGATGATGCCATTTATTTTTAATCTCTGAGGATTTTTTTTTTTTTTGTCGTCCACTCCTTCTCAAGGCTTTATAAATGATGGATGATCCCACCATCAATATTTATTGATCATCAAGGGGCGGCTATGATGTTCCCATGTGGAGGCTGATAAAAGTTTAATCATCCAATCAAAAACTGTTCTGGGTCTTATCTTCCGTTTGATAGAAAAAGGAGGAAAGTGTCCCATTATATTCCACTCAAGCAAGCATAACCTCTAAACCCCCACGTACAGGCAGAAAATCTCAACATATCTCTGAAATTAACAAATTGGTAAACTAATATGATATATAATAATCATTTAGACATCAAACTCTGTGAAAACCCTCTGCCTTTGCTTCCTGAAACCCACCGTCCCCACCTATCTTTTTGATATTAATCAAAGCTTTATTTATAAAGTGTTTTTCATACAAAACACATAACACAAAGTGCTTTACAGTTTATTAAAAACAGTTCCACATCCCACGATATTCATCTGACATCCCCATCTCAAGAGCAGTTATGACCAAACCTTGCTATATGGTTTGGGTTCAAATCCTTATCAACGACTTTCCATGGAAAGTGGAAATGAATTGCCTCTTTTCACATTGTGGTCTGAACCCAGCTTTTGAAAAACCTTATTAAAATAGCAAAAATGAAATTATTAAACTAGTCAAGTGCAATCAGGAAAGCCTGTGGTGTGATGAATGGAGAAAGGCCTTTAAGTGAAATGGTTCTAGGTTCAAATCCAAATCAACTCTTTTCCATGTGAGTCAAGAATGCGTCTCTCAATACAGCAGTCTTTTAAAAAAAAAAACACAATGGAACAGTGGAAAGGATATGACCCAAATAGTCAAGCACAGCCAGGCAGGTCTGGTCCTGGGTTCAAATTCTGAACAGGGACTTTGCATTTGAGGCAGGAACGAAATGCAATAGTTTCATCACACCACAGTCAGAACCAAGATTTCTACAAACCAAAAGGGAATAGCAAAAGGAGATGACTAAAATCTGGCGCTCATGCAGGACTTTAGTGTTGAAGATAGAGCGACTGCCTTTAAGTGAAGTGGTTCTGGGTTCAGAACCCAAAGAAGGACTTTTCATTTGAGGTAGGAATGAAATGCTTACTCCACACTGTGGCCTAAAATCTACTTTTGAGAAATTCCGATGAAACTGTAAAATCAAGTACTGTAACTAAAAGTCAAACACAAACTTGCATCCCAGTGGTTTGACCAATAGCACTGTCACTTGTGAGTATCCTGAGTCTGGGTTCAAATTTCAGTCAATGCATCCCACAGATACAGTTTAGATTTGGAAAACCATCATGATTTTATCTTGATGCAGTCATTTTGTGAACCCGGTTCTGCAAACTGAATTTATTCTGCCATTTTACAAATTGTTTTTTGATGTGCTTGTTAATCAAAACACACAAGTTTTGGCGAGCTCAGCAAATTTTTGTGAGAGTTGGGTTACGGTTGAAAGAAAAAGGAGTAAATGAGGACTGATCATCCTCTGTCTGACTTTTCAGAGTTGATTCTAAATGTATTATCCTAATACTGCTTGGATGTGTTTCGTAATACACACCAGGGGTCTTAATCATATTTCAGACAAGAATCTAAACTAGGGCCCCGTTGGGGCACTGGCGGGCCCGAGCCGTGTCACGCCGCCCCCAGCGCGACCGCCTCCCCCACCCGATCGCGTCACACTCAAGGTCCAAAGATGGTGTGCGCACTTGTTTGTGGTCATTTACCATTATAATGAACGGGAGGCGCAGTTTCTACCAAAGCGCTCGCTGCAGAAAAACTCCATGTCCTATTTGAAAAAAGTCTGGACCATGAGTGAGGGCACAAACACAGCTAAGATATATCCAAATGGCAAGTTGCTCCTCCTTTCGCTTTTGCCGAGAGAGCAGTGCGTTTGAGCCATTGAATGATGAACAGGAAAAACTTGACTTTATTCTCCTGCCATGGTTGGGCGCTCTTTTAACGAGAAAAAACTCCTTCACAAATGTGTTGATGGCTGGACATTGCATCATCCTAGAAAACATGGAGGCCAGTGAGGACAAAAATAAAAAGTTATAAGACTTTTAAATATGTGGATTTTAGGGTTATCTTTGGCGCCCCCTAGAACCTAAACCGTGGGGTGCAGCGTCATGATTTGAATAACTTTTAATGGCCATGGGGTGTAGATTGGCCTGAGCAAATGTGGTGCCGGTGGAACAAAAGCCTTCGGAGGAGTTAGCGAAATTCCAATGTGTGCGAATCTGCAAAAAATGCAAAATAACCCTTTAACCGTACATTTTACAGATACGTGGCCATTGACTTTTTCGAAGATCTTATTGAAATACACGTGTATGTAAAATTTTGTGTCAATACGACAAAACATACAGGCGTAGCACTCAACAATGTGTATTTTCACCTTAGTGGACAAGAAAAAATGGACTTTTTCTCCTGCCATGGGGGGCGCTCTTTTGGGGAGTAAAAATTCCTTCACAAATGTGTTGATGGCTGGACATTGCATCATCCTAGAAAACTTGGAGGCCAGTGGGGACAAAAATAAAAAGTTATAAGACTTTTAAATATGTGGATTTTACGGTTATCTTTGGCGCCCCCTAGAACCTAAACCGTGGGGTGCAGCGTCATGATTTGAATAACTTTTAATGGCCATGGGGTGTAGATTGGCCTGAGCAAATGTGGTGCCGGTGGAACGAAAGCCTTCGGAGGAGTTAGCGAAATTCCAATGTGTGCGGATCGGCAAAAAATGCGGAATAACCCTTTAACCGTACATGTAACAGATACGTGCGCATTGACTTTTTCGTAGATCTTATTGAGATACATGTGTGTGTCAATTTTTGTGTCATTTTGCCAAAGCGTACAGGTGTTACACTCAACAATGTGTATTTTCACCTTAGAGGACAAGAAAAAATGGACTTTTTTCTCCTGCCATGGGGGGGCGCTCTTTTGGGGAGTAAAAATTCCTTCACAAATGTGTTGATGGCTGGACATTGCATCATCCTAGAAAACTTGGAGGCCAGTGAGGGCAAAAATAAAAAGTTATAAGACTTTTAAATATGTGGATCTTAGGGTTATCTTTGGCGCCCCCTAGAACCTAAACCGTGGGGTGCAGCGTCATGATTTGAATAACTTTTAATGGCCATGGGGTGTAGATTGGCCTGAGCAAATGTGGTGCCGGTGGAACGAAAGCCTTCGGAGGAGTTAGCGAAATTCCAATGTGTGCGGATCGGCAAAAAATGCGAAATAACCCTTTAACCGTACATTTGACAGATACGCCCGCACTGACTTTTTTGTAGATCTTATTGAGATACATGTGTGTGTCAATTTTTGTGTCATTTTGACAAAGCGTACAGGCGTGACAGTGAATAGTGTGAATTTTCACCTTAGGGGGCGCTATGGAGCCATTTTGCATTTTCTTGTTTGGGCGACTTCGGAATATCAAATTTTTCACCAGGCCCGGTCGTCCTGCCAAATTTCATGAGTTTTTGCCAGTGGGAAGTGGGCCATTTTCCAGTTCAAAGGGGAGGAAAAATAATAATAATAACTAGGGCCCCGTTGGGGCACTGGCGGGCCCGAGCCGTGTCACGCCGCCCCCAGCGCGACCGCCTCCCCCACCCGATCGCGTCACACTCAAGGTCCAAAGATGGTGTGCGCACTTGTTTGTGGTCATTTACCATTATAATGAACGGGAGGCGCAGTTTCTACCAAAGCGCTCGCTGCAGAAAAACTCCATGTCCTATTTGAAAAAAGTCTGGACCATGAGTGAGGGCACAAACACAGCTAAGATATATCCAAATGGCAAGTTGCTCCTCCTTTCGCTTTTGCCGAGAGAGCAGTGCGTTTGAGCCATTGAATGATGAACAGGAAAAACTTGACTTTATTCTCCTGCCATGGGGGGGCGCTCTTTTAACGAGAAAAAACTCCTTCACAAATGTGTTGATGGCTGGACATTGCATCATCCTAGAAAACATGGAGGCCAGTGAGGACAAAAATAAAAAGTTATAAGACTTTTAAATATGTGGATTTTAGGGTTATCTTTGGCGCCCCCTAGAACCTAAACCGTGGGGTGCAGCGTCATGATTTGAAAAACTTTTAATGGCCATGGGGTGTAGATTGGCCTGAGCAAATGTGGTGCCGGTGGAACAAAAGCCTTCGGAGGAGTTAGCGAAATTCCAATGTGTGCGAATCTGCAAAAAATGCAAAATAACCCTTTAACCGTACATTTTACAGATACGTGGCCATTGACTTTTTCGAAGATCTTATTGAAATACACGTGTATGTAAAATTTTGTGTCAATACGACAAAACATACAGGCGTAGCACTCAACAATGTGTATTTTCACCTTAGTGGACAAGAAAAAATGGACTTTTTTCTCCTGCCATGGGGGGGCGCTCTTTTGGGGAGTAAAAATTCCTTCACAAATGTGTTGATGGCTGGACATTGCATCATCCTAGAAAACTTGGAGGCCAGTGGGGACAAAAATAAAAAGTTATAAGACTTTTAAATATGTGGATTTTACGGTTATCTTTGGCGCCCCCTAGAACCTAAACCGTGGGGTGCAGCGTCATGATTTGAATAACTTTTAATGGCCATGGGGTGTAGATTGGCCTGAGCAAATGTGGTGCCGGTGGAACGAAAGCCTTCGGAGGAGTTAGCGAAATTCCAATGTGTGCGGATCGGCAAAAAATGCGGAATAACCCTTTAACCGTACATGTAACAGATACGTGCGCATTGACTTTTTCGTAGATCTTATTGAGATACATGTGTGTGTCAATTTTTGTGTCATTTTGCCAAAGCGTACAGGTGTTACACTCAACAATGTGTATTTTCACCTTAGAGGACAAGAAAAAATGGACTTTTTTCTCCTGCCATGGGGGGGCGCTCTTTTGGGGAGTAAAAATTCCTTCACAAATGTGTTGATGGCTGGACATTGCATCATCCTAGAAAACTTGGAGGCCAGTGAGGGCAAAAATAAAAAGTTATAAGACTTTTAAATATGTGGATCTTAGGGTTATCTTTGGCGCCCCCTAGAACCTAAACCGTGGGGTGCAGCGTCATGATTTGAATAACTTTTAATGGCCATGGGGTGTAGATTGGCCTGAGCAAATGTGGTGCCGGTGGAACGAAAGCCTTCGGAGGAGTTAGCGAAATTCCAATGTGTGCGGATCGGCAAAAAATGCGAAATAACCCTTTAACCGTACATTTGACAGATACGCCCGCACTGACTTTTTTGTAGATCTTATTGAGATACATGTGTGTGTCAATTTTTGTGTCATTTTGACAAAGCGCGTACAGGCGTGACAGTGAATAGTGTGAATTTTCACCTTAGGGGGCGCTATGGAGCCATTTTGCATTTTCTTGTTTGGGCGACTTCGGAATATCAAATTTTTCACCAGGCCCGGTCGTCCTGCCAAATTTCATGAGTTTTTGCCAGTGGGAAGTGGGCCATTTTCCAGTTCAAAGGGGAGGAAAAATAATAATAATAATAATAATAACAAAAGAAGGAAACTACAGGAACAAGAGGGCTCTCGCAGCTGCTTAGCAGCTACGCTCGGGCCCTAATAATAATAACAAAAGAAGGAAACTACAGGAACAAGAGGGCTCTCGCAGCTGCTTAGCAGCTACGCTCGGGCCCTAATGAGAAAGGCAGCCTCTTGTTCTGGGAACTAAGCCATTAAACATTTTGCATATTGGGAAATTAGCAGAGCGAGCTTTGTGCTGAAGTGAGCTGTGGGGTACATTGCAAACTTATGTACCTTTCTATTTGACTGTTTATCAAGCTGACAGGTAAATTAACTCCAATACAGAAGAAAAAACAGATGCAGTCCAATTACCTGCTGTTTCCCTCTGCTTACTAAATCACTCTTTTGTGTATCCCAAATCGTGGTTAAAAAGCTGAACCTAACATCTATCTTTGTCAGAGTAATATACCTTATACTTTAGTGTCCTATGTTCTGACTGACTTGTTATGAACACTCATCAGAGTGGAAAATTAAATAGCCAACAAAGCTTTCTCAAGGTGATTCATTACTCCCTGAACCAGTGTGCGAAGTAATGTGCATCATGCTTAACTCCATCTCCATGGGAGCTTGACTCTGTGTACAGAAAAAAAAGCACTTGCACATAAACACAAGCTTGCAGACCACATCTGGCCTCCTACTGTTGCATTTTGGCTTGAATTTGCATATGCCCTTGGGACTCGCTCCACACCCTGTTAATATTCTCCTCGCCATTAAAAGCCTTATTGAATTCACAAAGTCTCTCTCTCTCTTTTCTCAGCGTCCCCCCCTCCTCCTTCTTTAAATAGGTGTTTCAGGTAATAACCTGCTGTTCTGCATGGACTAGCTCTTTTTGTCCTCAGAGGGTAATCGTTAGCATTCGGGTACCTGCATGTGTACATATAGTGTACATGTGAAGGCTTGTAATTCCCATTTCTAATTACATATTTCTGCTGCAGTGGTGGCCTTGTCGGAGAAGAGTCCAGCCTAAATTGTCTTCAACAAAGTCAGCTATATTTGACGCTTAAGCTGATGTCAACTCCCACTCTTATTTATTAGTCCGGCCGGGTTAAAAGTGCCTGACACTCGCAGCAAGAAAAATTGAGGAGGCAATAACAAGGGCAGGGCGGAGGAGTTGGTCATAATTGACCCTGCTTCCTAGAGCATTGGGTGAAGTTATTCTCTGTCCTTCTGCGCCTCTTCACTCTCTCTTTCCTGCAGAATAGCCGATCCAGCACTTTGAGACTGCAACTTGAGAAAGGAGGGCACAAGTTGACCACACAAACAAGCACTCGATCTATCTCGCTCTTTCCCTGTTAAGTTTGACCTCTGGGAACAAGCAGGACAAGACTTGAGTCAAATCCTTACCTGGTAGAAAGTGCATTTCTGCAAAATGCTCTTATGGGTAAAACAAAAGTGAAAAAGAGGATGGAAAAAGACACACCATTAGAGGTGTGAGTTTGCAAGATTGCTGCATTTCTCCTCAGGCTGAGAATTTCTATAAGTGACACTGAAAGTTGGTGAGCTGTCAATTCCCAGCTGATAAAAAAGCAACCTTAGCTTTTCTCATGGATGCAGATGTAGGATTTTTGCAAGAGATTCTTTTTATCAGTGCAAAGATGTAAGAACATTTCAGACAAGAAGACAAATGAGGTTAGAGCATGACGCATTTTAGACATGTTGTCAAAGAAGGAGCCGGGTAATTCTGCTATCATCCTCTGTGTTTAAGTGCTGTGGGTTTTATTAACAGCTATTTAAGAAACAAAGTTCTGTAAGAGTGAAGGAACTATTCACCATGAGTGGGTGGGTGGAGGATAGCATTGGGTGTATCATGCAGCCAATGCAATCTTCATGTAGATAATGATGCTGCTTTTTACTGCTCACCAGTGTGTCATTTTCTACTCATAGGTTGGTCGTGTTAATACAAAGTGACCACGCCAAAGCACATGTGGAGGGGCATAAAAATTCAATTATAAAACGTCCAAGTCCCATGTTAAATGTTTCTTTTTTATCACAGGAGTCAATGCATTTACATCCTGGCTTTGAAAAACATTTTGGGGCTCCTGTATTTAGAGGAACTTACCTCAGCTGTCTTTTAACTCAAGCCTGAATTCATGAGCTAGATGATTTGAATCCCACCAGTGTTGGGCTTGGTCACAGGTACGACTAGTATGTCCATGTTTCTTTGTGTAGACAAGAACAGCCCAAGAAAAAATTGACTTTCAAAGATATGTACCTGTAACAATGAGTGAATACACAGAAAAACACAAAAAAACGACTGAGAACTCTGGAGCATGCATGTCAAGCCAGTAAATAGAAGTATAACTTTGTAATGAAACACTCTCAAAGAACAGTGTGTGCATGAGCATTAAAGCATTCGTCAACAGAGTATTGGGTCCAAACAAACTGGTAACTTTGGATGGATGGACAGATGACAGATGGCATCCAAACAAAAACTTGGTAAAGCCAGCAGCATAAACACAGCTCAGCACTCAGCCATTGTTGTCATGTGTTTCTCAAGCAGGGCTGTGAAATCCAAGTTTTCACATGATCAGCTTATAGCCGGTTTAGCGGTGTTTTCAAAGCACTTAAAGAGAACCCAGTTTTGAAGGTTGGGATGTTAGACATCCGTAACACTGTTTCTGTGTCAAATAACAGCCAGAATGCAGTGTCAGCTGAACAGCTAGAGAAAATGTCCTGTTTTTTTTTACATTTTATACATGAAATATTCATAATAAATCACACGTTTGACTGGAAAAGTTCATCAGGATGAGATGTTTTGTCAAAAATCCCAAAGATACTCAAACATGTAGAGGACGAGATAAGCAAAAACAGCTCTGCCCACAGGGGGCGCCAAAAGTGACACAAACAGGAAGTTCCTCACAGGAGCCTAATTCTCGTATCATAACATTATTCCCATATAATTTTAACTTAACCACAACTTTATTCTTGTAATATTATGATTTCATTCTCATAATCCAAAACTGAATACTTTATTTATCTCGGGGGAAAATCTGGTCACTACACTTGTTCCTGAAAATGTAAATATTACTAGAAGTAGATTAGAAGTAAGAATGAAATCAGAATGAGTAAGACTTTCAACAGTTAGTTAACTCATAATTTCTGTAGTATGGTCTCAATACTCTGTGATACTTGCAAGGAGAATTGATGCGAAAGCAAAAACTGTCAAGTTTAATCTTTTTTAGTCTACTTTGCTTGCCCTCATAGACGTCATGTTAACGTTAAACAGTAACATCTTTTTTGAAAGTATTTGTTTGATTGACAGGGACAGTACATCAGACATTGTTGCATCTAATTAAAGAGCAACCGATGCTGTGTATGCAGGACTTCTAGCTGTGGCTAATTCACGGTCCTTGTTAGACAGCGGGAAATACAGCACATAATACATAAACCACTGAATAAAAACTAACATTATAGCAGGTGCAGACAGGCAATCTTCTTCACGCTATCTTCTTATAGACACCTAGCCTGGCTGGGTCATCCTGTTGCGTGAATCACTTGCCGTTCCTTCCCACAACAGTCTGGACTTCGGCCCATTGGGAGCGTGTATTAGCGATCAGAAAATAACTGGGCCAATCAGTGACTGTGTTTCCACTGTTCCCCGGACAACAGGGAAAGGCAGCCCCTGATTGGTCCATGTGTAGATGGTGACGTCTAACACATGCTGCGGGACTTTTCAAAGCGCCGTTAATTCAGAACACCGTTAATTCTGCAGTTGAGTTTGCAAAGTCGGCAGAAATCGTTTATATCTGCAGAAGACATCGGATCTAAAATATTTCTTTCCCTTAGTGCCGTGAAGGTGAAAAACCCACTTGCCCTTAGAACATTTATTCCATTGATGGCAAATACCAAATTCCATGTAAGTCTGTAGCAATAAATCAAAAAGTTTGCAGTAAAAATGGTGTTATGATATAAACAGACTGACAGCTAGCCAAAGACAAAAAAAATGCTAATTAGACCTTCTGGCTTTCATCGTTTGAACTCAGATCTGAGTCCCTCCTCCTCTTCCAAATGAGCGACCTGTCGCTCTGTATCTGCCTCAGTCTCTCCTGTCTCTTCTCCTCAGCCTCAGAGAGTGACACCGCCGTGACTCTGGATGGGTTGAGACAGACAGATGAGAGGTTGAGATGAAAGTCAGATGTGATGAAAAGTGATTGAGCTGACAGCAAACTCATTTACAGACGAGTCCTCTGACTTCTGGGGAGAAGTCTTTCTATCAATATTTTCAGACATGTTACAAAAGAGCCAAAACAAACTATTGATTCTGGTAATGAAAGTTGCACACAGCTCATTACAGTCAAGAATTCACTTTTTAAAAGGAGGAGATCAAAGCCCGACACATTGGTCAGTGATTTTTTTTTTCTTTGATGATATGAAAAGCTTTGCTGAAATATTTACGGATATATTCAAAGGATATTGAAAACTGCTTTATGATGTTTGGAGGAGGACATGCAGTCTGCTTTCATTAGTCTGTGTTCCTTTTATGTCTTTGGGACTTTAAACGGATCTTACACAGATGATATTTCCCTCAGGTGTTCATTTTCATGGTTATATTTTCTCTTTTTTACTTGAGACAGAAGAGAGTTTGGGACACATTATAAAAGGATACGAGGGGGACCAGACATTACCGTGAAAAAAAAAAAACTTGAATAAAATCAAAGTCAAGGAACAAACATATTATTACAGACTTTAAAGACACACCAGCACTCAGCTGTCTCTTGATTTTCCTGGTACTCGCCAAAAATGACACACGTACATGTGGGCAATATAATTTTTACACCATGCCGAGGTGAATGCCATCCCTTTGTTTTGTCATATGACTTGTTTTAAACTCATGTTGGGTAAGGTGACCAGATTTCTGAAGTGAAATATGGGAACAGTGGGTTTGGGGGTGGTGGGGCCAAAGCTAGACTTAAATTGAGCGAGCGGGTGGGGGATGGGGAACCTGTTTAGGACTGCTAGCTACATGCTCACTCCTGCTTCCTACTTACCCAGCTACCATTATAACCATTGCTGTAGTCTACACACGACATTTTTTATTTCCCATTCATGAAACGCTGCTAAACTGGGACATTTCTAGGCACAGGTACTCCAAAACGGGAACTGTCCCCCAGAAATCGAGGGCGTCTGGTCACCTTAATCTTTGGGTTTGTAATGTACGGGGTGTAGCCGGATTGCTAATGTGCCTAGCTTCATTTGTTTTGTGTTTTATAGGTATGTGCCATGCTTTGTGTCTCCAAGCTTCGTTTTTTTACTTGTTATCTTGTAAGGTGTCACACCTCTTTAAGTCAGTGTTTTATATATTGGGTTTGCTGTTGTGGGAATTCCCATTGTATAATGTTGACTCAAACTAAGCAAGGATCTTGTGCTTCTAGCCAATATAACTGAGAACCTGTTTACGCTAGTATTGAAGCAACCACTATATTCTATGCAGCACCAAGTAGGTTTAATTTGTTTGAAGAAGACTGATTTAGCTGTCAGTATTTGTTAAAACTGTTATGACAAGCTTTTGGCATGAGTTGGTTTTGGTTCCCGCCAATGGACAGAGTGGTATATACTGTATATTTTGTCCTTGTACATGAATGTAGTCCTCTCCTGTCGTCTTTAAAGAGACTTGAAACTTGAAATGCACTAAAAGCTCAGTCAAAAACTACATGTTTAAAAAATAAACACACAGTACCTGTTGCTGTCGGATGGATTTTTCCTGTTTTTTACAGAAAAACTTTTGGTCCTCATATCTGGGCCTGTAACAGAAGTAGCTATAGTGTGTAGTTGTCTGTGTGATTCCCAGGTTAAAAGCAGATCAAAAACTACAGCATGAGTTAGGCTTATGCTACTTTTTATTGCCCAGTGTTACATGGTTTAGGCCTTGTGCCTGCCCCTTTGTAACTGTGGTCTGCTCTGAACTTGGCTGTCTGCTGCAAACACACACTGGTTGATTAAAGATGATAGATGCCAAGTAAAAGATATTCTCATAGTTTACTCCAGGGTTTGGTACATGGAGCTGAAAATAAAAACAAAATAAATAAATAAACAATTGAACAATGATCGTATCAAAAATTGCCATGGGAGGAGAAAAAGTGCATCTAAATGGAAGAAACTTGATGACATAAAGGGTAATAAGTACATATATAAGATTGATTAGTAAATTAATTGATCAATAATTAAATTCTAAAAAAGGCTGCTCATATCATAAGTAACCCCAGGATGAGAAATGAGTGCTTGTTAATAAAAAAAAATATCAATAAAACAAAAAGGCAATGAATAAATATAAAAATTAATCAATAAATCAATTTACACATAAATAAATAACTTGGAAAGCTTTACCATATCAGACCAGAAGGAACAAAACCAAGACAGAAGTGCAATCAATAAATTAAGCTTGTTTACAACAGTCAAACCATTCTGGTTTGATATACTGGACATACCGGGAGTACAAAAAGCTGAAACAATAGCCTGTATGAACATATGACCAATGCACCGCCATCTCTTTCCATTGTAGATAAGTGATGCCACTGCTTTGGGCAAATACACATTGTGCTGGTGACATATTTTGACACCAAGAAATGTGCAGAAAGGCTCTGGCTGGCTGATGGAGCCATGGTTTCGATATCGTGTGAAAAACAAACCACACATTTCACTGACTGATCTAACAGCAAAGACCCCTCAGGTCAGTACAATCCACAGCAGAACAGATGTTTGTGTTGGATTTTGAGAAAACACTCATGATTCTTGAAAAGTTCAGTGACTCTTGTGTTAGTGTTTCTTGTGTTTAGATCTTTCTGATAAGCAACACTATGGCCAGCCTGTAGAGGGAGCTCTTGATAATTTGGTTTGCACCATAGACTGTATATACTATGGACAACTTGGTTCTGCCTTCCGCCAGTACACAGATTTGAAGCCAAAAAGCTCTCGGTAATTCTGCGTTTTCTCTCCGTTTCCTGAAACCAACATTGCGCAGTAACCTTGTACACACTCCACCACTTGCGAAGTAGCGTTGTGCACATTCAGCTGGAGAGTCACCAAGAGTCACTGTGATGATGCTCGGCTCAAACAGCGGGTGAGCTTCACAATCTTTGTACGCACACAGGCTGTATCAGGTGTCAATCATAGAAAACTTGAACCCCCGAAAAACGGAGCTATACTACAGCCTGTCACCAGAGGGTGCTGTTCTCAGAGTGGCTTCACCCAGCGAGAAGGCAGACGCTGTCTGTTCAATATACAGTCTATGGTTTCCACTTTTGAGGAGCCATCATTATCCACTTAGTTTTTTTTTTTTTTTAACAACCATTTGCTGTAACTATTTTTCTCTTAATGAAGAAAGAAAATCAGGTTTCGAGCTGCTGTTCTGTTTCTTCAGCAACAAGAGCAGCAGAGTGGGGTTTTTTTTAATGCTGGTGTTAACTTTCAGGTACAAACTGCTCCACCGTTTCTGCAGTGAAGTCGATCAAGCATTTCACATCATCCACAAGGCCATTACAGCTCCTTATTTTCTTATGTGCTTCCTCAGCTTTTTTAGTGTGTGTTGGAGTGTTTCACTGCAGCAGGGAGCAGAGGAAAGTCTTGTTGTCTAGTTCTGCCAGATGGAGATACAGAGAGAGAGGGAGGGACAGAGTGAGAGCGAAAGAGAGAAAAAAAGAGAGAGAGAGAGAGTCGGGGTTTCTGCACCAGTGAGTGGTTTCACCGAGCAGAGACATGATGTGTGTGTGACGTGTTTGTTCTGTAAAGCAGAAATAAATACGGAACAGCGCCTGAGTGTGTGTTATGTGTGTGTTTATCTCAGAGAGTGAGAGTAAAAGAGAGAAAGTCAGAGGTTGACGAAGAAAGAGAGATTCAGCGTGAGATCGACCTGCTGGAAATGTAACACCATTTCATTTTTTGTCCTTCAGTGTCTGAACCTGTGCAGTTTTCTTCTCTTTAAGTCTTATTACCTCCTAAATTTCCTGTTTTTCTGTAAACTCAGCTTTAATTTTCACCTACAGTTTCCTGTTTGAGGAGACGAGGAGTTATCTTTCATTGTAAATCAGTCCTGCAAAGTCAAACAGATCTTCACTCACTCAGTTACTTTTATTAGTCTGTTTGATTCCTGATGATTTCTCTAATTCTACAAGTTGAATTTGATAACTCAAAACAATCTATGGGCCTTTAATTCACATCAGCACATTTTCTTTATGATCTTCCTGTTTTGCTTTTTTTAACTTGTTGATTATTGTACTATCATTACCATCTCAGAGACATAACGTGCACAAACCCACTGCATTATGAAAAGCATAATGAGCTTATTTAAGTCACCTTTGGTTGCACTTGTAAAACCTGGATGCATGAAAGCTTTTGTAAAATAGCTGAAATATAAATGCAGAGTGAAACTGCAGACAGAAATGAGGGGAAAGCAGATAAACAAGATGGGAAAACTTCCGTTTCATTGCCCAAATCTGACTCACTTAGATGTCTCAACACATCTTCTGAAGTGCTCGGTGACGTCACTGAGTACAGTTTGTTTTGCTTTTGCAGAAGGAGGAAAAATACGAGTGAAAATGACAACACTTTTTTCAGGAATTCAGCAAGTGCAGCGACCTTCTGATTGCATGTCATATTATGTTTCTGCAAAGCTGACAGCAAAAGATGATTGAAGCTGCTGCCTTTTATTTTTCAGTCTGACCTATTTTTCCCAGAATCCTCACTTAAATAACTGAATTCTATAATACTGAAGTGGAAGTAAGGGATTGGTTTCTCTTTTGTGGGTCTATAATCCAAGAAGAATAGTGCATTAATGCTTTTTTCCTTTTTTCTGAGGTTCAACTTTTAACTCACGATTCTTGATTTTGGGTCAGAGTTCCCAAATGTTTTTCGTTGGTCTCCTGAGATTTAGGTCGGAGTAGACCATACTCCCCAGGTAGTCATCTTTATGTAACATCCCTCTTGGGGTAGGATGGCCGAATACTGTGACCGAGCTTTGCTGCTGTGTTCCAGTCATATACTATTTTAGTCAAACATCTGACAAACTGTTGTTGTTTCACCACAACCTCAATTGATAAACAGTCATAAAAAGAGCAGATAGTGGAAATCCCCTGAGATATTGAAGTGTTTGATGTTTACCACAAATCGCTAAAACGAGAAAAATGCAAAGGCGAAACATTTAGCTATTGGACTGTTCTTACTTCGCATCAATTAACCATCAATACAACATACAGCACAATAAGTACAGTATGACCAGACGTCTGTGTAATGGTTTAACAAGTAACTTTCAGTCTGCCTTTACAACAACCACTAAAGCATTCAACCAAGAGTCACCAGTTAACAGGGTCACTTGATGTCCTACAAGTGAACTTATTCTGGTTTTAGGATGAGGAATCTAACTCAGAGACCTGCACTTTCCTACAGATAAATCAACAAATAGCAAACTTAGTTGCCACAACTGGGAAAAAAAACATTAGAAGTGATGGTTCAACTACAGTAAAGGGATATTCCAGTATAAAATTACTTTAGGGTCAAGCACACCGTAACACCGAGTTAGACACCCCCTTGAGAGATGAATGTTGCTGACGGCTTGCTTCTCCCGTTATACCAACTTTTGTGACGACCGCACGATAGCAATACACAGCAGTCTGAGGAGCCACACACAAACCTCAACCAAAAAGCCACTCTATAGCCACAAATAATGTTCAGAACAGCACCTAACTTCATCAACAGTACATAATAATTATATTATCATTTCCTTGAAGTAATAACCACCATATTAATCATTTTGCACTGTAGACGCGTAGTTTTTCTGCCTTAGCATCTCCGTCTGATTGCATTTCCATGAAGAAATTATCACAAATGTTCTTCCTTGAGCTGCGTCACCCCCCAGCAGTCAGTAATGGACTGCCCTGAGGTCTTGCTACAAACAAGCGACTGCTGGAAGAGAGTAGGTGAGTTGTGTTTAGTCTCTTTGCTAAAGAAATTAGGCAAACTTAAAAAAGATGTTTGGTGGCTAGTGCTATGGCTGAGACCCTATGTGTACTGTTGACAAAGTTAGGTTCTGTTCTCAGCATTATTTGTGGCTATATAGTGGCGTTTTGGTTGAGATTTGTTTATGGCTCCTCAGACCGCTGTGTATTGCTATTGTGCGGTCATTACTAAAGTTGGTATAACCAGAGAAGCAAGCGGTCAGCAATATTCATCTCTCGAGGGGGTGTCTAACTCATTGTTATGATGTGTTTGACCCTAAATTAATTTTACGCCTGAATATCTCTTTAAATTTAATATCTCTGACATTGAAATAAGGATACCTATGCTTCCCTTGATCTTACCGATATGTCGTAATGGTGTCCAAAATGAGATGTCATCAACATTACAAACGTCAAAATATATGTGTATATATATATATATATATATATATATATATATATATATGTATATAAACTGCATCATCCTATTAACTATAACAAGGGCCTTGGTGGATCTCGTAGTGGTCTAATCAAACCATCAGCAGTAACTAAACAACAACCTCTAATATTGTGTTTAAACCAGTCACTGAGCTCAGGTAGCCCAAACCGCCACCATCAGTTCACCCTCCAGTTTTCAATGAATGAACCCCCGTCAGTCTGTTGATAGACTGATCTGTTTTTGATCCTTAGTGCTAGTTTTTCTATACCCATCAATTGTTTTGGGTGTTAAGGTGTAAGCTGCAGCAGACTCGCTGAGAACTGGCTTGAAGCGGCTCTCAAAAAGATGACTCAGCACTTTTAAAAACTGGGATTTTATGATTGTAAATCCAAAAGCAATGTTGGAGCTCATGTCTCTTTGAATCAGTTCTTCTGTTTCCATTCAGTTCTGTAATTTACAATTTACAGGAAGTAGCTTACTCTTCAAAATAAAAGCATCATTTTAAGACGTAGAAAAAAAATATCAAAATAAAAGTGTGCCAAAAAAAATTAGTTTTATGAGGCAGTCTGCTCCATTGAAGTTTCAGTTACACAGCCAGTGATAAGGATAAACCATTTATTTAAATATAATCAGAAATGAGTGTTATCTGTTTGTTTACAAATATTATGGTTTTTAAATATTATAGAAATACTATGTTGCTCCAACCTTTTCTTGCCTCTTCTCAATTTAACTTACTGTGTTGCTTTAAATGTCAACTTTTCCATAAATATCGTGTTAATATCGTTATCATGACATTTTGTGGTCATGATAATCTTAAGGGTGAAAATCTGATATTGTGATAGCCTTAGCTGTGCTGATAGAGACTCTTGTACATTAAATTTGGGGGAGGAGGCTCATATTTCCAGATCTGTCCACCAGTTAGTGGGCAAACAAGGCCAACTGTCCTGGTCACAACAACCTCAACAACTCTCTTGCTACAGAGAATAGTAAAAACTCAAGGAAATGAAATGTAGATAGCCTCGGTTATGTCAACAACCACCATTTATCATCATGATTCAAGAACTTCATCCAAGCCCAGCTGTCTTTTTGGGTCTAGCCTTGGCCTCAAGGACATGGTAGACAAACCCAAGGAAGACAAGTTGCCCATCCATGATTAATACCGTCTTTGGTGACCGCCATTAAATCCATGTTAGTTTTCTATCCAGCAGGTATAATGCCATATTTATCCCCTACATAACCTCAATGTTTAATTGTTGGTTCATTTGTGAGTGTTGCTGTAAACAACAACATCACCGCAGATGTTCCATTTAATCAGGCTCATAACACCTCCAGAAGGCTGAGCAGTCAGCTCTGCTGTCCCAGAGCCCGCCCCCTCTACAAGTAGAGCTACAGCCACCTGCAGTACTGTCTACTTCCTCTTCATGCCTGTATTTGCACTTACAGAGGTATTTAACAATTTTAATCCATGATATAAATAATGCAAATCAGTGACTTATGTCTATGATAACCCGATCCCCCGTCAATCAGAGCTATCCAGTCCCGACAGGGCTCATGGCTGCTCTTTATTTGCCCTTACCCACCAGCGGGCTCATGAATTAGAAAAAAGGACAGACACGTTTGAGAGGAGAGTGATTTTGGCAGAATATTACACTCTTGAATCTTTGAAGCCGACTGAATCCCAAACTGAACAGCTGTATCCTTCCTCTTTCGCCAGAGGCAGCAATCCACTCCTCTCCATCAGGCAGCAGGGTGGAATGTTTTCACCCGATGGGTTTTTTTTTGGTTCACGTCAGTCCCATGAGAGCAAACATCTGCTGCTCTGAAGTGTCCTTGAGCAAGACATTGGGCCCCTACCAGCCTCACAGAAAAAAAAACGCTGCCTTACAGCTGAGCCACGCTGACCTATCTGTACGCAGAAATCAATACTGTATCCGAGTACTCATTTCTCTATTCATGAGGGTTCATTGAGGTTCCTGTCCCTGCTGTGGCCTTTGCCCTGCCCCAAGATGATGGAGGGTATGCGTTTGTTACAAGGGTTTCTGCGCTTTCCATTGGACGTCGGCTGGCGCAGCTGTACTCTGCAGGCACTGGCTTTGTAGGCCCCTAATCTGCAAATCCCTTCTGCGACTGTGTGTGTCACAGCTTCAGAAACCATTAGCCAGCAGTTTCCCTCTCTGGCCAAATCTTATAGAGTGTTATCACTAATAAACATATGGCAACCAGTGAAGAAACTGCACTTTCTCTCTTCATTTTGGAGTTTTTCTTCATTTTGAAAAAGAAAAAAGATTTGTTCTTGCTGTGAACAAATCCATATACCAGGATGTGATCTCCATGTGCAGTGCATTTAGAGCAAGGTAAGTTTTTACAATTTAAAATTGTCTCGCTCTTTTGCATCCAGGCTTTAATATCGGAAAGATTACAGCAAAACCAAATGGAAAAAACAAACTATTTAATAGGCTGCAACCTTTTTTTTCCCCAAAATTGCCTTCTTGCAGGTTTCCCGTTGGTGGGATGTGGACAGCAGGGCTGCAGTACTGCATTGTGAGCAGTAGATGGCAGTTTGTAACATGTTTTTCCCTTAAGAGGAGGAGGACAGCACTGCAGTGAAAGAGGACAGAGTGAGTACAGTGCATCAGAGGGGCGACAGAAAGCCCTCTGAATCAAAAAAAAGAAAAAGAAAAGATCCCCAGCAGAACACAAATACTGGCATGGTCAAAATCAGTCAGCGTCTTCAAGGTCGGTTGTCTAAGCAGACTGATTGAGACTGAATTGAACAATGAATAAGCGGGAGAGAATGTGTGTTTCTGAGTGTATGTGGAGGGATGAGGGGAGAATCAGAGAAAGGCTAAGATTTACTTGTCTAGACAGACAGGCTCACAGCCTGAGAGTCAAGCTGCTCATCTGCCAAATGCCTGGTCCGGGTGAGGAATGAAGGCCATCATCAGGTGGGGATGGGGGCGGAGTCAAACTGGTTCGATTGGTGGGCGGAGTCTGTTCATGAAATGACATTTAGTTTGCAGGAAGCAGGGAAATGCTCGTTTCATCACTTGTTCTTCTCTCTCAAGCACTTTGGAGAAAACATTACTTGGTTAACTTCCAGTTTTTACACACACACACACACACACACACACACACGCACATACACAGTGACAGCCTTGAGTCCTTTTACTCACATAGTCCTTCCACAGTTTACCAAGCAGTTTATTTGTGCTGTCGAATGTCTAAAAGGGACACACAGAAGGGCAGGACCTTAGTGGTGTCTCAGACTAACATCTGCGTAGCATCAACCTGAATATTTACTTGTTTATGAAATCATTTATGACTGAAACTGGACTATAGTTGGACACACATGATAATGTGGTTGGGGATCAATTTTTGTCAGTTGTTTTGGTATGTGTCGTAATGGGTCAATTGCGAGATGGCCCAGCTTGAGAAACAGCCCCGTTTTTACTATTCCTACAAAAATATTATTTACAGGCAGTTGGAAATAGATCTGATGGAGCATTTTGCAGTCCTGCTGTAACTCTCCACACAAGGTTCATACTTACATGAGAATTGGCACAGGTCTGTGTGCAGGAAACACTAACCTGACTCTGCACATATCATCCACTCCAGCCATATCCAGACAAATTTAGAGCACACAGCATTCGGAACCAGATATTGTGACAGGTTGTTTTGGACAGAGAAGACTAATTGATTTCATTTCATTCCCCCAAACTGCAATAGTCACAGTATACCTTTTCATTAAGTGTGGTTCCATTTACTGTTGTTCATGAACTCTAGTAGTTGTCATCATTATACACAGTCAGAGACAGAAACATGTGTTAACATGTGTTCCAGGTGGCACCCCACATTAGTAAATACTGATGCAAAAATCCCACTCTTCTTAGGTCCTGGTCTTGAGGGTCTGGAAATAATGAGAGCGGCAGAGGAGCTACTGGGTCCCATCTCTCTGATTTGGAAAAGTGGAGCAGGATCCTGTCCTGCAATCCAGGCAACAGCAGCAGACCTTGGTGAGTGCATCTCTAAATTGTTGCATGTAAGCCATAAATGAAATTAACAACAGGGTTACAAGTAGTAACACTATTATAATGAGAGCTGCAAAAAGAAGAGCTGAATGTAGAAAAACAGAAATATTCCTGCATATATCCAGTTCTTTAAGTTTAATGTTACCTCAGGATTCAGGGTATCAGTTATTAGCCAAATATTGATCCGACAAGCTGGATAAGGTAATGGTAAAAACGTTGATAATGAGGGCAGATCATTCACC